ATGTTCTTTCACTCAAATATCAGGTAACCCAAAATTATAAACAATTTATAGTTACAAATTACATTCATACATATTTCATATATTCTCTGTAACTCAAAACGGACTTAAACTGGGAAATTTTAACGCTTAGACAGGAACAAAAACAAATGACAAAGTCGTAGGAAAATATGGTGACTCTAAAACAAATAAAACTGGGGAACACTTAATCAAATTCTGTGAACAACACTCTCTGACTAAACGGATTCTACCAACATAAAAACATACATAAGTACACCTGGGTTCAACCAACGAGAAACACAAAGTCAATTATAGATTATGTCATCACAAAACAAGAAACGCACATACAAGTTGAAGACATAAGAGTATTAAGAGGACCGGAGTGCGGAACTGACCACTATATGGTAAGATCAAAATGTTACCTACAGTATCGCCTCGGTCTTGCGTAAACACAAGAACAAGACCAAGACTAGAACAAGAAGAACAAGACCGATTTTGGGCAACACTACCTCGAAGAATTGTAGATGTAACTCTGTGGTAAACTCAGATATTCTATGCGTTATTTTTTAATTTATTATTATTCTGTTTATTCAATTGTTTTCATTACGTTATAAAATATTTTCTATAATTAGGAAATTTAAAAATGTTGTTCGATGCATTAAAACTTCTAAATTTTCCTCTGCGCTTTATTTTTGTTCTCCAAAATTTAATTTCCTTATCGATCTAACCATGGGCCAATTGATATGGGAAGGGGCTCTTACTTGGGGAAGTCGATCCCGCAAACGGATAAAGATAAAGAGAATATTGATGATACTGTATTGTAGAGAGGTTTTTAATTATTAATGTAATATTCGTTCTAATTATTCGAAACAAAACTAGTATTTGGGTAATGTTTATTAATGGAACCCTTGTATAGAAAATTAATGTTGTAATCCCAAGTACAATTCGTATATTAATTAATAATATGCAGTAATATGCTTAACTAATCATAACTGAACGTAAAATGTTCTTTCACTCAAATATCAGGTAACCCAAAATTATAAACAATTTATAGTTACAAATTACATTCATACATATTTCATATATTCTCTGTAACTCAAAACGGACTTAATTAACAAATATTCACGTCATACTGTAGAACCGTACCATACTATGGTTGAAATGAATTCATTTATTGATATATTAACAAATATTGTCAGTACAACATATTGGGTTTTAATAGAAGGACGACAAATACATAATCCAAATATAACTCCAGGATTAACCCAATTGTGAAATTCGATAGATTATATTATTAGATAGACAGAATGTGATCAAATATGATGTTCTAAGAAGGCTGAAATATGTACAATGGTGGAAAAATATTCTTAACATGATTATACATATAAAACACTAGGAAAGTGTAGCATATTACCATAAAAGAAATTATACTCTAGAGAAATTAAATATAGAAAGAATATCAAGGAACGTTAAAGCATACTCCAGTCGTCAGAGATGAAAATGCCACGGAACCTCTAAAAATCAGTTGAATTTTTGATGAGAATTTTAATTTTAAGATCCCAAAAAATATGCAAAAAGTTTATCACTCCTTCCTTCCCTCTAAAGTTCACCCTCGTAGGAGGAAAACGCAAAAAATAATCGATTTACTAAGAATCTGTACTCCGCAAAAAAAACTGTACAAAAAAAAAAGTTTTTCAATAAAAAAATGTAGCTAAGATAATTTTGAACAAAAATATTAATTAGTGTGGAATGAACAGTTCTTTCAGAAACAACGCTTTAAATAAAGTTTGTATAAACTCGACGGTAAAAATTCGATATCTTTTGATTAGAGAGTCCTATCGACAAAACCAAAAGTGGTGGACAAATTCACATATTTAGGCTCCCTGATCACCAAGGAGAACGTCATGACGGAAGAAGTCATTGTGTCACACAATATATTTTTCCTTATAAGCAATACTTTTTCTCATGTAGATTTTATTAGTAATTTTATTTTTCAGGGATCAGATTCCAGTTGGAAATCCCAATGGACTTCATGATAAAGAACTCGAAGCATTTGATGCATTATTTCGAGAAGAAGATGAAGAAGTAATTGGGGGAAATCCTGATACATCCGACGAAAAAGTCATTTTTAACGAAGGAACACAGTTCTGATTTGAGTGGATATTCAAGTGAAACTTATAGCGAAAATGAAAATGAAGTAAGTTCAGAAGATTTCTATGAAGGCAAGGATGGAACAAAATGGTGTAAGTATTCTTTGAAAAGTAAGTTTAGTAAAACTAACAAAACGAATATTGTAAAAGTACTTCCCTTGATCCAAAGAGTACGCTAAAGATATTACAAATGAGGCAAATGCTTTCGCTAAACTTTTTACTGATGACATAAAAATATTGTGGTATCTACCAATATATAAATAGAAAAGATGCGCCCGAATTACAATCGCGATAGAGACGCCAGAACCACCAAATCTGAAATTATGGCAACGTCGGAGTTTTGATTTTACCTGGGCTTAAAAAATAAGGTGAGATTGCATGAGCTGCAACCGATTTTTATTTCTTTTATGTGTTCGACAATAAAGATACAAGAGCTCAAAGAAAAGCTACTGACAAACTTGCCATTATACTATTTATGCTAGACCTCTTTTCCCACAATATTGGCGACGTGCAAGTACTATACGAGAAACGATCGTGCGCGAGTAGCGGAGAAATCTTGCATTTTTTACTGCACATTTCATAGATTTCTTAAATTCATATTGTCAATTGTCAAATTGTCATATTTCATATTCGTTTGTTTATTTACACCTTCTGTCACTGAAGAAAATGGGATTTAGTAAATGCTGTGTTATAAATTGTAAAAATACAACAAAAAATTGTCAATATAAGTTCGTTTCCAACTTCGAAGCACAAATTACTACAAAGAGAAAAGTGGATTTATATCATAAAAAAGCATAAGTAAGTAACATAACCTAAATTATGCATTATTCTTGCGCTCAATTTTAAAGTCAGTTTGAAATAAATAATAAATAAAAGTTCACTTTTAAGTGAAAATTTTAGTTTCATAACACTCACTTAGAGTTCACTTTTAACCCAAAAATCAAGTTTAATGCTAATGTAACTTTAAGTTTAGCTATGTATTACATAGCTTTGTCCATTTTTTCTTAATTCTTCCACATTTTTAACATAATTTGCCACTACTAAAGCTTTTCCCTTTGACTCAGTGCTTGGTTGAAAAGTTATTTGGTGATTTACTTTCTCAAATCCAATTTTTATTATTGCATCCATATTAACAGTAATGCTGTAATTTAATAATGTATTTAATTGTATTTACACTACATACAACGTTTACCTTTTAATAAAATACCGACATAACCTCAATCATACTTTTTCTTCTTATTATTTTTTGGGGCTACGTCCTTGACAGTTATCCGGTAACCTCGATCTACTATGAAAGCGTAATAAATTTTGCTGATTTACGACACCAGGTGTCGCTCTTCCGAACTTGCATGGTCCTAATACATTAGGTGAATATCTGACAATTAACGAAATGCTCATTTCTTTTCCAGGGAGATGCAGCTTTTTACAGTATATACCAAATAATCTAGCAAAATATGGGATAAAAGCATTCGTATTGTGTGACTCACAAACATTGTATGTGAGCTGTATCGAGTTGTACTGTGGGCAACAACCAGATGGGCCTTACAAAAAATCAAATAAGCCAGAGGATATTACACAACGATTGGTTGAAAAATGGAATGGAGAAATCGTAACTGGTATTAACTGGTACACCAGTTATAAGTTAGCAATAGATCTGTTGAAAAAAAAAAGACTTCAATAGTTGGAACAATAAAAAAAAATAAAAGAGATCCCAAAAAATTTTTTACCCAATAAAAACCAAATAGAAGGTTCATCTCTTTTTGGGTTTCAGCAGGAAGCTACACTTTTATCATTTGTTCCAAAACAGAACAGGGTGGTTATTTTACTTTCCACGATGCATTATGATTCCTCTATAGATCAGGTCACTAATAAGCCCAATATTATTATGGACTATAATTCTCACCAAGGTGGTGTTGACACCGTAGATAAAATGTGCTTTACGTATTCAGTAGCAAGACATACCCGTACGTGGCATTAGTCATATTTTCTCAGATGTTGAATGTGGCAGGAATAAATAGTCAAATGTTATATAATTTTGATAACTTCAACAGTCAAACCAACTTTAGAAGAAATTTTTTTAAAACAGTTAGCAATATCATTGATGAAACCACATCTTTCAGGAACGAGCTGAAATAAATACTATGCCATCCAACATAAGACTTTTTCTAAACACATATCAGCGGCCTCAAATAGCTCAACGGAATGGTAGACAGAAAAACCGGACTACAACGATAACATGCAGCATTTGTCTCAGATAGATCAGTCTGCAAGGATCATTATGTTGCTGGTGTTACTTGCATACAATGTCAAAATAAAGATGACAGCTTAGAGGATGTGCAATAAATATTTATCATTTTAACTGTTATTTTTTATATTTTATTATTAGTATTATGTCTATTTGGTTTCAAAAAATTTGTTGATAATAATTTCATTCTATCTGAAGTTACTCAAAATGTTCAATATTATTAATATGTTAATAAATAAGGTTTAGAACAAACAAGTAAGTGCATTTAAAAAAAAAAAAACAAAACCACTGTTTTTAAATGTCTCTTGTGCTGTATAAAGTAAGTCACGCGTGCACTTATGTTATGTTGATGCGCGAGTAGATGAATTTAAATTATTATTCATATTATTTATTATAATATCTAATATTGTATTTCTAAAATTTTAATAAATCATATCATAGTATACTTTGTAAAATTAACATACCTTAATTCCCAACACACTAGAAATTAAGTGAAGTAAGTAGAATTATTTCGTACTTCGTATACAATAATAATCTATTAAAATTGTAATGCCTTTTGCTTTCTAATATACGAAGAAAATTGCAAATAAACAAAAACTCACACTCACCGCATTGGAATGTGTTTGATCGGTCTTCAGCTCCTTGTGATTCGAGTACTGTACATAAACTGCACGGCCTCTTAGCTGCGCGATGCAATTGGAGAAGTAGTTCACCATAGTCGTGGCTGATTGTTCGTCGCCCATCTCCAAAAACGCTTGATTTTTACCCTTCAATACCAAAACGTTTGTGACCCTTCCGAAGGGGAGTCCGAGATGAATTATTTCTGCTTCCGAAACGTCGCTTGGGATGTTGCGGATGTGGATTACCCTTGAGGGCTTACCTACGTTTTGTTCGAGCTTTACCTAAAATTAAAATAAAATAATATTACTTAGCTGTAAAACAGAAGCGCATAAAAGACAATACTTATTGTATTCATACGTCATTAAAAAACTTTTGTAACAAATTATGTAAGAAAATCCAAAAAGTAAACTAATTTCGGAATATATGTATATTGGAATATATCAATATATCAGAATATAATGAAAAACTATGTAATTTCGGAGTACACACAATATCTATTTAAAAAATATATATCATAAGATTGCTGAGAACAAAATAACAGAATAATAAAACAAAATATAAAAACACTATACTGTTCCACAGCAGACATATTTATAACTAATTGATATGCGGTTGAATACTCGAATAAATGAACTTTGAAAATTAAGGTAATTATATCGAGCACAATCTTGCCCAAGTACTTTCGCTTAATATAGCATCTTCAGGGGCATCTGAAATAAGCCAAAAAAACGTTTTTTAGATGAAGGAAATTAATTAACTTCGATAAAAACTCAAAGTTGATAGAAAGATGATAAAAGTTTTTTGTGATTAACGTTTTAGACTTACTTCGTCAAATATGGGCTATCCAGCAAGCGTAGAATGTAATAAACATAGATAGTAACATAAAATTGTATAAACACTACACTAGAACAAAGGACAAACAGTTTCAAATTAATAAAAAAGTTCTATGCTACATTCTTTGGCGGTAACAGGAGATAGAATGGTGTTTAACGGAAATGCTAAGGTGACATGTGACATATGACAGCTTTGATGGGCAGTCACAGTTACTTACACAGAATTTTAATATGTGCAGATCACATATCCATGACTGTGACTGCCCATCAAAGCTGTCATATGTCACATGTCACCTTAGCATTTCCGTTAAACACTATTCTCTCTCCTGTTACCGCCAAAGAATGTAGCGTAGAACTTTTTTAATAATTTTAAACTGTTTGTCCTTTGTTGCCATACCAGACGAATGGAAGGCATGGAGAGGTTAATGGTTAAAGGCAAGGTAGATGGTAAAAGAATTCGAGGAAGATCGCCAATCCGATGGATCCGACCAAATAAAGTGCGATACCGGTTACTCTCTGTCTCAGGCGCGCCCAGGAGAGAGAAGAATGGATAGTAACCGTTCTTAAGAAGGATAAAGGATAGAGGAGGAGGAGGATAAGTAATAAGTAATCGAAAAAAAAACATGTACAGTGTGTATAATAAAGAAGTAAAAAGAACATGAGAAGAGTGATAAATCAATTAAGGTTACTTAATATATCTGTTGTACAATCACCTGTTAAATAACCGTATCGGGAACCTGAAGATTTTTATTCCCAGTTATCGTTAAAACGATTAACCGCCTGTAGAACTTCATTGTTTGGTCTGGATCAATTTGCTTGTGTCGTGTATATACGTCCGATGTCTCTTTCCATAATAGTGTTCTCTCCCGTCGAGTGTAATAAAGGGCACAAAATAGAGTCGGCAAACCGCGAAATCTCTAAAATACAGAGCGGAGAGAGAACGTAATCCGTTGTATAGTGCTCTCTAATTAGGACAGTAAGAATTAAACGCGAGGACTGCTTGACTGAACTGACCAAACATTTATGGAAATAGGAAAATAACTTTAAAACATAGGGAACACTTGTCGTCGGCTTCGGAAAGTTTTGAGTGTAAACAAAAAAGTTAATAGCATGTTGCCAGTTTATGTGTGATGTGTGACTATATTTACTAGGAACATTAGGGCTGTTTAGCTTACACGGTAAAGTAGCCTTTAATAGATTTAGAGATTATACGAATATACCAGACGATGTTTGATATCTAGAAAAAGTGAATCTTTTTAACGAAATATTTACAGTAAAGCTGCATCAACTGATCCAACAGTTGTAAATGTATTTTTAATAACATTTCATAATAATAAGGTTCCAAGGTGTGGCTGATCAATTGGAAACACTTTCCATTAAAGCCAATAAAGTAGGTTTAAAAATCAATATTATTAAAACCAATTCTATGAGTGTAACTGCAAGAAACAATATGCCATCATGGATGGATCTTCTCCAAGATAAGATGTCAAGAAAAGTCTTGGCATGAGGTGAAGGCCTTAGCGCAAAATAGAACCCGATGGCGCGTTTTCACTGAAGCTCTATGCTCGAATTAGGGAGTTCAAGAACCTTGCCGTTCTTCAAAATGCGTTTAAAAGGTCGAAACTGCAGCTTTCCTATGTATTTTGTCACAAAAGTAGTCAGTTTTTATATATTCAGGTGTTGATACATAAACCTTGCGCGATTTTTGCCATTTTTTATGATTCTCATGAGATCAATACAATTTATCACTTTTAATGACCGGTACTATGTAATTTCTACTCAATAATTAATCGATTTCCATCTTTGCAGTACATAAACTTTACAGTATTGGATTTAATTTGTAGTTGATATTGTTTAGTTTCGAAAAACGTACTTACGTGATTGAAAAGAAGCGGTTTTTAACGTTTTAGATTGTTTGTAATGTGAAACTGTAACTTCAGCGCTTTTTTTGGCATACTTCAAATGTCTCACATTTATTGCCAAAACTAAAAACGGAAATTTCATGCTATAGGTTTTGAAATGTAATGAATGTATCTCGAAACTCCATATCACCGATCTCTTCCTCTGACAACAATTACTCCGACAGTGGTTCGACAACAAATAAAAATGCAAAATGTTAAGAAAGATCCTGGTTATTGATTTAATAACAGGCAAATTACTTTAGAAGCTACCGAGAAAAGCAGTGGTGTTATTAACAATAATATATAACAGCATACTACGTCTTCGATACATTCTAATACAATGGAACTTTGCTGAAGTTACTATGATTCCGAAACCTGGTAAGCCCGCAACTCAAGCAAATTCATATCGCCGTATAAACCTACTCCTAATAATGTCAAAAGTATTAGAAAGGCTGCTACATATTACATAAAATCGAGCAAGTTGTTCCCATAAACAAAATTATGCTACAACCCCAATTCGGATTTAGACGTGAACAGTCAACCATCCAACAATGCCATAGAATAGTAAATATATTTAATACAACTCTCGAAGAAAAAAAGTTTTGCGCTGGAGTGTTTTTAAATAGACAACAGGTATTTGATAGATTATGGCATGAAGGTCTCCTCTACAAACTGAAATTACACCTAAGAGACCAACTACTATACTTTATACTAAAATCGTATCCTCATGACTGTTACTTCCAAGTTAAAATCAGTACAAATTACTTTTACAACAAGAAAATCTACATGTCCACAAGTTTTTATTAATAATACTCCAATTCCTATAAAACCAGTTGTCAAATAAAAATCTTACATGGACAACGCACATTAAAACTAAACGGAAACAACTAGATCTTAAACTAAAAAATATGAACTGGCTATTTAACAAAAGATCTCAGTTATCTCTCGAAAATAAGCTGTGGATGTACTACTATACTCATTCCAGTTTGGGCATATGGAAAAGGACTGTGGTTCGTATCTAACTAATCACTTCACAATGATCTGGACATTTCATTACTTAAGGACACAATAAAGGATCACTCAATCAAGTATCAAAAATCGCACCACTGATCACAACAACTGTTAAACATTGCGTAACAACACCAGTGGATCGCTCAAAGAAAAATAATCCGGTGAAACGGAAACACTGGATAACGGATGAAACTCTTAAAATAATTGAGAATAGAAGAAATCTTTGTAAAAGTTAATGGGAAAAACCCCGTAAGTGGCTGTATACCATCGTTTAAAAAAAACACAGAAGTTAAAACACTTCACAAATGTGTATTTAGGTATAAAACAAACAAGTTAAAACTTTTTAAAAAAGTGTCGTCACATTTAAAGTTCTGGCAGAACGTTTTCGATCACTACGGATCATCTTCAGTGCCTCGTATTTGTTGCTAACTATATAAATATGGTGTCTATAAGACTACCATGTTTGATTTGGTAAAGTGTCACATTTTACATTAGGTAATGTTGATACTGTAGGTCGATGACAATGGATGTATTTAAAATTTATTACTTTAGGGACTACATGTCTCCTAAGCTCGAGTACTTGCACGTTGTCAGTTGAAGCGACGACACAGACCAAATGTCTGATGTCACAGGAGATAACTTAAAGACAGCTAAACTTGACAGGATTTCAGTATGTTCCGAAATTAATGTAATTTTTAATTTGTGAAATTATAAAATTTGTTTACTTGTAGTAATGAATAATAACTTATTAATGAACCTAAGTTTCATTAATAAGTTATTAATAAGTTATTATTCATTACTACAAGTAAACAAATTTTATAATTTCACAAATTAAAAATTACATTAATTTCGGAACATACTGAAATCCTGTCAAGTTTAGCTGTCTTTAAGTTATCTCCTGTGACATCAGACATTTGGTCTGTGTCGTCGCTTCAACTGACAACGTGCAAGTACTCGAGCTTAGGAGACATGTAGTCCCTAAAGTAATAAATTTTAAATACATCCATTGTCATCGACCTACAGTATCAACATTACCTAATGTAAAATGTGACACTTTACCAAATCAAACATGGTAGTCTTATAGACACCATATTTATATAGTTAGCAACAAATACGAGGCACTGAAGATGATCCGTAGTGATCGAAAACGTTCTGCCAGAACTTTAAATGTGACGACACTTTTTTAAAAAGTTTTAACTTGTTTGTTTTATACCTAAATACACATTTGTGAAGTGTTTTAACTTCTGTGTTTTTTTTTTCTTTGTAAAAGTGGTATACATAGTGAAAGGGAAAAAGCTAGTTTAAGAAACCTCAATAAAGAAATAAAACGAAGATGTAAGGCCGACAAAAAAACAGTACTATCAAAGTATATGCAAAAAAAATTGAGAGACATGGTCAGAATAATCAGCCGAGAGATCTATTTAAAAAAATACGCTACCTGACAAGAGACTTCAGAGCCAGAACTTGGGCCATTGAAGATAACACTGGAACCCTGAGAACAAACAGAGAAGACATAGCAGAGATATGGAGATCGTA